AGCAAGGACGCTAAGCCAGGTAGGAAGGCACTCAGGTAGTACTTACGGGGTTCAATCCCAGTTGAGATAAAACAAGCACGTGCTCCTAGCCAAAAAGAAATGCAGATACAAATAGAGGTCTAACCTGGCTACTCCAGAATTCAATTCAAAAGAGATGCGGGTAAACAATAAAGATTATCAATTACCGTTGGTGAGAATCGATGGGGGTTCTCACAACACTCAAAGCATGTGGTTGAACACTACATATATGTTAGAGCTACCGTGTATATGTATACACCTAAACTGAGGCATCAAAGAAATTACAATTGAACAAACTCACCTAGCAAAGTTCTAAAATTAAAGTATCAATAATGCAGGTGATGATGGTAGTTAGTGGGGTATGATAATGCTAATGATCCCGATAACACCTGATTTTATGCTCCAATGTGCTGCAAAAATATCGATAGAGAACAAAGTTATAAAAAGTCCGTGGATTTTGTTAAGCTTGTAGGAATTATCCAATGAAAAGTAATGTGTGCCAACAAGCTTCGACCATAGAGAGTGGGAAAAATCAAAATGCTAACAACAACCGTCAGTAGCGATAGGCAGTGAGGACTAAAAAGATGGAGAAGGCAGTGGTAATAGGTGGTGAAAGATATTTGTTTAGACTTATTAAAGAAACTTGCATCAAAACGTAGGCGGTTTGTGAAACTATGGTCTAGAAAGATACGTTAACAACATAACCAGGGTAACCAATTAGAATGATGAGAAGAAAAATCTGAATAACACCTGTCCGGTGGCTAAATATTCAGTTACAGTTTGAATGAATAATCGATATAGGGCCTTCAACCCTCACTGGAGTTGAGAAGGTTTCAATTAACATAGAACGAGGAGGGATAGTGGGTCCTGATGAATTAGAACCAGAGATATTTAGAGATAGTGGCAAGCGGTCATTAGTGGGACTGATTAGAATATTGGCTGAAGTATATAAGTCAGACATGATTTCAATTGTCTTCACACGCTTATATTTGCAGTTCTTAGGAAAGGAGATAAATTCATTAGTGCCAAGTATACAGGAAATAGCATGCGTAACAATTTCACAGTAATGCTTTGCATTGATACTGAGTTTGAAAATATAAAACGAAATGGTTAAGCCACTCAGATTATCTGGGCCAGTGCTAGATACGATTTCAGTACCCACACAAAATGGTCAGGTTGCATCTTCCAACTTATGCCGCTGTTCGCATCGATGAAATATTCGAATATCTAAAGAAGGTCCAGTGTACTGGGCAGCAATGTGAAAAATCGTAGTCTAAATATAACTACTAGTAACCTTGTGCACCATGGTGCAGTATATGATGAGCTACATCTATTGAGTGAAGGCTAATGGTACTACTTTGCTGTCTAAAACTCGGTGAGTGGAACTGAGCTCGAACCCATGACCCATCGGTTCGAAACCAAGTGTCCGGAGCAATGGACCACAGTTTCGTCGGAAATTCACTAATGTCTTACTATTACAGATGGAGAAACTTAAGGTTTCAGATATCTGCCCATCGTTGTATCTGGGTTTGGCGAGAGGATGATACGAGCAAAGTACAACATAGATGTAGAGTAATAGGTAAATTAGGTTAGTAACTTGATGAATTTATTGATCCTAATCAACTGAAATAACTGGGGAAATAAGTTATTTATAACTTCCCATCATTTATTCACACATCCAATGTAAGCTGAAGTAGAATTATATTAAAGGAATGCTGTGAACCACCAGACCAATGCATAGTATAACAATCTGATGTTTCTAATAGGTAGTCTGAGCCTTGAAAGGCTATGTAGGCTATCATGTTGATACTGTATGTGACAGATGAAAGTCTATAACAGTGACACAGAGGTATCTATTTCTCACCAAACCAGCGATATTTCATACCTTTTTTCTTTTTGCCTAATTTTTCCAGTTTTTCTTGCAGCTTTTTACTTTTATTTCAGTTTGGTGTTACTCTTTTTTACTTGAGGTTCGATGGTGTTGATGTTAATTATGATAACTGGGAGTGCGCTACGTAAATAAGCTATTTTCTATGGTGATAATATCTGTCAAACTATTTTATAAGTGCAAAACAACTTGCCAAATGATAAGAAATTTTTATACACCTTGAATGGAAAGTGGGTTATAATTCATTTTAGTAACGCTTGAATAAATACTGCCTCTTAATGGGAGAAAAAATCCAACAATCATTGATGAATGAAAAAGACTTGTAGATAATACTTTGGAATGTTACTGTAAGATAACTGATCGACAAAAGCATCTTCGACATAACGACAAGTAATCCTCTGAAATGCAGTTATCCAGGTTTCATGTCATTATTCTTAGGTTAAACTAATGAAAAGTTAAACAGTCGAGAAAAAACGGGATCGAAACGCATACTGCAACCTTGTGTACATTCTTACAGCAGGTAGTGAGCTACATCTGATGATACTACCCGACTGCTCAAACCTCAGTAGGTGGGTCTGGGTTCGAACCCATAACCTACTGGTTGAAATTTAACTCCCTAAAACAGTCCGCCATAGCTTCATAGTTGTTTCTTAACAGTTTCTATGCCAAGTAAACACTGACAAGTAAAAAGATACGGGTATACTTAAGAAGTAACGCCAACTTACTAGTGCTGAAATATTTCAGTGTTAGTACTTTCTTTACCTATCGCTGCGCCAATATATCACATTTTCCCGGGTAAACTTAATCTTTTAATTATATTAGTCAGACGTTATATTCATCTTAATGACTAGCACTGGAATCCAGGATGCGTGTTTCGTCCTATTAGGGACTCGTCATCTGGATGTACCTGCACATAATGGAGTGTTATTCCCAGTGGGACTCGAACCTAGTGCACATTGCTTTAAAAGCCAAAACATTACCCATTAGGCCACTGGTGCATGATAGCCATCTTTTGTGCAACGCGTATTAGTTGTTGTTTTTTGATACTTGTAATTAATTTCGCTTTGTTATTCAGAAGTCAATTACTCAACATCGACTCAGATTTATCACTACTTGAACGAAATAACCTTTTAAGTCCACTCTACAAAATGAATAGCTATAAACTGGAACTTAGTGTGTAGATATTTAGAGTATACATGAGATGTAGCTTGATAAATTTGAAATATGATCTAAACATCATCATTTTACATAGTGTGATGATAGCTATGTACTCATCAGATCTACAAACAAGTGACACAACCTCAGAGAAGACTCAAAGCTAAAATAAGTGTGAGTAATACACTTGAAAATGATAAGGTTAGTTGAGACTGAATTAATCTGTACCTATTGTTGTTATGATTAAAAATGAATGAAGGAGTGAATACGTGAGTTTGATTATCTTCTCATCACATGCCTTATTCATTCATTCATTACTTCCTTCTCCTCTTTTCCCTCCCCTTCTACTTCGTTTTAAATGAGTATCCAATAGTACAAACAAAAAAAAATGTATACGCTCAAGGAAATAATCAATACAATAATATTATAGAATGGAGACTGAGGTATGGGTGAAAAAAGAAATAAAAAGGCGGTAGAATGACAGCATATCTGTAGAACATTAAAGTTTACAGCTTTGTTAATGCAGATGTACGCAGGCAAGTGTGTGTGGGTGTATGAGAAGGATAAATAAAAAAGAGGAGGCAGTGAAAGGAGAATAAATAGGTGAATCAATTTATATTTGATAGTTCTATGAGCTGACATAAGCGGGAAACGTAGTCAACTATGTATCGTGTATACCTTATTAAATGAGTCTTCAAAAACTTGAGATTACAAACCTCAGGTTATATATCAGAGTTTCCATCTGACTGGCTAATAAAATCAAAGTAGAACCTTGTTGGCTGAAGATGCCACACTTAACAGTATTACACAAAGGTCATGTGGATAGGAAAAGACTGATATCATCAAACTAGACAAAGTTGTGTGAAAGAACAAACAATCTGAATATTCAAGCTTTAGAAGATGTCAAGGGGTGAATACATTTCAGCCATTGTCACCACGAGTCCTCAACCACTGATTCCTATCGTTTCACGGACCCCAATTAGATGGGCTAAATCTACACACAAGACGTAGACAAATGGTCAAGGACTTTATCGACTGATATCACGTGTTCGTCTAATCACCTTGAACCCTCTTCTAACTTAATCCAGCTTCTTGTAGCATAGCACACCGATGGAGGTGGTGGATCGGTATATCATATACATGTCGAAAACATCTCAGTCGACTAAAGTTCACAACCTCATCAATCAGGATTTCGATCAGCTGGCACTAACTTCATACAATTAATATATCATAACACTATTGCTCCAGAAGCATAGATTTTAGATAAACAACATATTGTCATATAATAGAATAGTAAAAATTTACAAAATGTATAGCCGAAGTTATAGTACAATAAAAACAGTGGTAACCTACTAATTAAATCTAAACAAGAGATATCTGATGCTATATAGAGTCTGAGGCCACAACATAAAACTTCGTAGGGGTTTAGAATACGATTTTCAGTAAAAAAAACTGTATCATGCAACTCATCAGCCATGTATGTACATGAGATCTATTGTATGAAGATTGTTTGAGAACAATACTGTTCATATCTATGAGTTGAGCGGCATTCACAACAATAACCTATTGGTTACAAGTTGAGTGTCCAGCTTAAAGGGATAAAGCTTTAGAAATTGTCCAATGACGATTAAGAAGCCAATAAATAAAAAAAAGGAATCAGGTATGTCGATTGAACAAATACTAACATTACAACGTAGAAGTTAAGACAATATGTGAATCCTTTTTTTTATAGGCTGAAAGATCGGTAACTATTCTCCTGATACACACACAGAGAGATCTCTGCAACTGATACAATGTAATTGAGATTCCAATTCATTGATTCAAAAATCTTCAGTTATTTCCTCAGTTCTAAACTAATACCAAAGACTTAACTCATAAACACGCTGTACAAACAGAAATGTATACACATGGAATCAAAAAATAAAATTTCTCAACTTACCAACAGGATATACTGATGAAGTATTCCAAGGAGATATTTGATAATGCGTAGATGAGGTAGAATAATCGATTTAGAAGAACCACTACCAGCAATTGACAATAATGATGCCGGAGTTGAATGCATTGTCGATGTGGTTACTATTGTATCAGTCGTTGTAGCAGTAGTAGTAGTAGTAGTAGTAGTAGTAGTAGTAGTAGACAATGAAACCGTATCCAAATTTAATGATTGTAAGATGTCTAATGAATTATTTAATGTATTTATTGTACTATTTATAGGCAGCTTAGATGTATGCTGTGTATTCTGTTCTTGACTTGTAATTAAGTTATTTAATATATGATTATTATGCGAGTTCTTGATTAATGTGCAATCTGTAAGAGAAAAATCTCTTATCTCAGAATCTGTTTCTGGTAAATCAATAAAATCAGGGGGTTCAATTAAACAATTGCTCAAATTCTCTTTCGGACTGTAACAAATAATAAAAGAGATAAAGATTTAATTTTAGAGGATGATATAAAAAAAAAAGGGGTGGAAAACACTAGTAAAAAGGCAACCAAATCAAGCAAGTATATGCTATTTCTCCTCTAAAGTGAAAAAAGGGATAAGTTAGCTTAAGCATTCTCTTTCAAACAGTAGATCACAAATTTAAACCCCGTTCCAATTATCTGTCAACATAACATTTTCGGTATTACAGCCTAATGTATCAACCTTTGTATAACTGTCAATTTGTAGTTGAGCATAACATGTGTAGAATCAAAAATGAATGTTATAAACCACAATTAATGCGTATCTAACAAAATAAACATTTTCAGAACGATTTAAACTATATTTTGAGAAATTTACTAAAAACATACAAGGTTAACACTCAATCGAATGTTTACTCCTAAATGAAGTGAAAATCAAAAAGTTGATTGATTTCAAACAGAAATTCACATAAAGAAACACCAACTATACGAGTAAATGCGATAGAATAAGACATTTTCCAAACATGATTTTAATCGACAGCAAAAATTCCCTCTTAAAGCAAAGTCAGACTGTGTTACACATTAATAATAATCGCTTTAAAACGGTGGAGAATATTTGGAGCTCAGATGAATGGTCTCGGTTGAATTGTGTTCCATGAGCTAGATTGTTTAGTCGTAGAGCTTTCATCGTCTTTCTAGACAGCGACATCATCAGCACTAACTTCAGTATGAAGTGAGTTGTCAATATCTCTCCATCAGTGATTTAGTAGCTTGCCCTGACGAACTGGCTTGTGATTGGTTGTTTCCTTTGATCATTGTGTTACTGACTGTATAGATTTTCTTGTTGGCTGTTCCTCTGCTTGACCTCTCACCTTTCTGTCCTTTATCATTTTTCTTGTTGACTGATAGATTGGGTCTATGTCTATATATCTACTGATTGCTGACTAACTGTTCTGAATGCCATGCATCAGAATACTACAGCATGCCTAGATATCCTAGGAATATTGATGTGCTGTATTTTCGTGCAACTTTTTCCCTTGTTTATTTTGTTCAGTTGAAAAAATTGTAGTTTGAAAATATTTTAAAAATGCCCATGATTACATGATACTGTTAAAAGACATATTTAGAAGATTGAAAGAATTGAAAGGGAAGAATTCAATGAAATATATTTGGTGGAAAAATTTTGGTAGCCCAGTATGCTTAAGCAGATTGCCGTCGATGAAAATTTGAATATTCTGCTGAAGTTGTGGCATTCACAGAGAAACATTCAGAAAAAGTCATGTTTAGATTTTCTAAATACGTTGGACCATGCACAGACTCATTAAAATTACGGTTAAATTAAACATAACGCTAAAATTCTTCCAGGACTAATACTATGAGACTAAACATGTATATTTATTATTATATTATCTATTAGTCCCTTGGGTTCCTAGTGGAACATAGGGCTTCAGTAGCACGTCACCAGTGACCTCTGTTCTCTGAGATCTTTTGAACCTGGCTCCACGACAGCCCACAAGCTCTCATTTCCTCCTCGCACGACCTCCTCCATGTTACCCTCAGCTGGGACGTCCAACTCGTCGCTTCCCATGGGGATTCCACTCGAGTGACTGGCCTGACGCGTGATGTCCTCAGTCGGCCTTCTCAGTGCATGCCCAATCCATCTCCACTTCCTCCTGCATATTTGTTGCGTGATAGGTTCTTGGTTGGTTCGTTCCGAGCCAGAGTTCCTTGTTGCTCATTCTTTCTGGCAATCCATCTGATCTTCAGTAGCGAGCGTAAGCAGTTGTTGATGAATGTCTGTAGTTTATTGGAAATGCCTTTCGTGACGCGCCAAGTCTCTGAGCCATACAGAAGCACTGTCTTGACGTTGGTGTTGAAAATCCATATCTTGTTCCGCATGCTGAGTGCAGAAGATCTCCACACTGGTTTCAGGCTAATGAATGCCTGTCTTGCTGAGACTAAACATGTGCATACTAATAATAAGTGATAATAATAATAATAACCACCTTATTCTAAACAATATTGATGACAGTATGCAATTCTCAGCATGTAGTTTTTAAACAAAGTAAGTCAGTCTCAGAATTATATTTTTAGACGAAATGGTTATTGTATCTGAATGATGTGTGAATAATAACAGTAACATTCAAAGCAATAATGTGAAATGGCCAGGTGATTCTGGATGGCTGTCTGTTCCATAATGAAGAATCAACAGAAATGCAAGCATAATTTCGGTGATGGTGGTGGTTCATTGAGATAATAAGGAAATCTTCAACTTGAGCTAAGCAAGCATCTTACGTATAGAAATATGATGTACTTTTGTGTACCGCAAAGTCTATTTTCATGTAACATAACATAACATTTTTTCTCTGCTTTATTACTGACTCGTTAAATGGAGAGCTGTAAGTAGTTAAAAAATGTGCAAGAGTCTTGGTTGTATTGTGTTCTCTGAGTTGGGTTGTTTAATCGTGAAGCTTTCATCGTCTTTCTAGACAGCGACATCATCAGCACTAACTTCAGTATGAAGTGAGTTGTCAATATCTCTCCGTTAGTGATTTACTGGCTTACTCTGACGATGTGGTCTGTGATTGGTTGTTTCCTTTGATTGTTGTGTTATTGACTGGATAGACTTTCCTGTTGGCTGTTCCTCTGCTTCACATCTAACCTTTCTGTTGTTTATCATTTTTCCCGTTGGTTGACAGACTGGGTCTATGTCTATACACCTGTTGATTGCTGACTGACTGACCTGAATGCCAGGCTTCTAGGAATTCTCTGATGACATTCATTCAAAATTCATACAATTCATACAATTCAATTCAAAATTCATTCAAAATTTATACATTGTCCAAATTGAATTCATGTCCATAATTATCCACATGTATTGAAATGAGTGACGAAATATCGTGGTGTTTAGTAGCCAATTGGTGCTCATGTAGACGAAGGCGAAGAGAGTGACCACTTTATCCAATGTAGTGTTGACTACAGGGATTGCAGTTGATTTTGTTAATGATATTCGGTTTGTCTTCTTTGCTTGTTGCATCCTTTGGTCAGCACAATAGTGTTTCGAGGAAATTTGTTGGTTTATGAGCCATACCAATTCCAAGTGGTCTCAGCAATCTTGTCGTGATTTCTGATACATTCTTTATGTATGGTAGAACGATGCGTTTGTTGATTTCTGTCTGTGACTTTGTAGTTGATGATGTGGGGGATAGGCATCTTCAGGTAGTTTCATGGGTAGCCGTTCTTCTTTAGGGTGGACATCAAGTGCTTTTCTTCGTTTCGCCTTGAAGTTGTTGTGCTGCAGTGTGTTCTCGCTCTTTTGAATACAGTCTGCACGCAACTGATTTTGTGTGTCGTTGGGTTGTTGCTATTGTAGTTGACGATTTGGTTAGTGTGTTGGCTTCCTGTACACTTGGGTTTCCAGCTATCCAGCATTTGTCCTACTGACTAAAACATCCAGGAATGGTACGTTCAAAGGACATATTGAAATGATTAAAACAAATCGAAAAGAAAGAATTTGATGAAAAATGTTCGATGGGTAAATTTGGTACCCTAAGGTTCAAGCAGGCCTCCGTTTAGGAGTTGAAACTCAAAAAAGTATGCTAGCAGGTTATAGTAGTTAAATGGTCAATCCATCTATTAAGCTAGTTGAGAATAATAATCACACTTTGAAACTGATAAATGTAAGCGGAATATTTAGGAATGCACCAGTTTTACACTGGTTGGGAAATCCGAAATCTGAGTAAAGTGGTAGAAAGCGATGACCACTTCAACAAATGAGAAAGTCATGTTTGGTTGGTGGGTAATAAAAAATCAGCTCGAATAAAAAATGTCCAATTCAGAGGTTAGAGAGGATTTATTGATTGATTTCAGGTTGCTACTCATCATGAACCGATATCAGTTGGAGAAACATTTAAAACCTGAGAACACTGGAAAGCTGTTTCTTCCAAGTATGACAGTGGATGAAGGTTGCGAACTGACACAAGCGGCAAATATAGACAGTTGGATTCCGACCCAGTGGTTCAATGGCAATGTGCTGGCTACGGAACCAGAAAGTCCTGGGTTCGGTTCCTGGCGGGGCGGGGTCATGGATGCACACTGCCCATTGCTCTCAGGATTCCAATGTTTCTCCAACTCATGTCAGTCCGTGATGCATACCTACCTGAAATCAAAAAACGTTCAGCCGTTAAGCATGCCTACTCACCCATTTACCCTAAGGCGAAATATTGACTGGATTAGAATAGGATCTCAAGCATTGTTAAGAATTGGTACATCCAAAAGTGGTATCACTCAACGAAGTCTAGGACTGTTTGTCCGAAACTCATGGTTGGAGATTGCAGACAGGTTAATTCGCTACCGGTCGCAGTTACACATATCCATTCACGCCTTATCTTGATTGAAATTGTATTAATAATTATAATAAGTGAAATAAAAATCTGGTCAGCAGTCTGATCTCGTAGCTTAGTTGGTAGAGCATTGGGCCGGAAACCCGACGGGTCGCTGGTTCGAATCCGATCACGGTCCAAATTTTCACTTCACCTTCAATCATCATCCAGTATAAATACTAGTCTGCCAAATTACAGCTATTTCATATAGTCAAAATAATAATATTATATATCCTTAGTCCTTTAATTGTTGTCTTACAGAATCTTATGACCGCTGATATTGTTGCCATTTTAATTCTATTCCTCTTCTTCGTTTCATCCTGATATGTTAATCTGAAAGGCTGAAACTTAAATTGTTACGTTAAGCTAGACCCATATGTAATTGCGGGGTTCTGAAAGAGTGAGCACATTATTGCCGAAACGAAGTATATAATCTACTCAGTTTGGAAAACGGTAATAATATTATGTCAAGATAGCACTTCTTTTTATCAAATCAAATTCATAGAAATGTTTCAAGATACGCAAAAAGAGGATCAAATCTTTGAAACATGTAGACACTTTAACAAGTTATAACTTCACGGATTGAGATGCATGTGTAAGTTGTACGCTGGAAGCTGGCG